ATCGATAGATCTATGGAAGGGTTATCATCTGATTTATTTTGTTTTTCTCATGTTCTGTTGTTTTGTTTTTCCTATGTTGTTGCTTTCATATTTACCGTTTGAAGAGTATTATTTTTTCATCTTTTGTCAAGAAGAATATTCCTCATTGCAACACACAAGAATACGAACAAGAAAATCACTACTACTATTGTCAAATTTGATATTATTGGAAGGGTAAAAGTTTTATTTTCCCCCAAAAAGTTGAAAGTTCTCCAAAACCGAGGCTTTACAACCTAGAAACTGAGATTGCTCTTGTCGAGAGACTCAAATCCTCTCCGGCTACGACTTCGCCGTCGTCGACCAGACCATTATTACCAATCTTGAGTGATTATTACTAGGAATCATTATGCAATATTGAGTGATTATTACCAAGTAATTAGATAAAAAAATATTAAAATTATTATTATAACAATTGTGTATAGAATTTTAAGCAGTTTTGGCCATGCCATAAAAGATAATTAATCAATTTTATTACAAAAACGCTTAATGAGCTGAAAAAAAAAATAAAGATAATAATAATTTTATATAAATAGTTGGAAGAATAAAAGAAGTATTAGATTAGATTTTTTTTTTTATAGGTATATAGTTACATATATCATTTAGTATGATTGATATAAAGCATTGCCTTTACCATAGAGTTCGGCTGGTCTAAGGTGTTAAAGGTCGAACAATGGAGGTGCGGGAAATTTGCAGAAACCTTTACCATACAAATATAAAATTTAAAAAGACTCATTTGAATAATTCTCAATGACATACAAATGATGAAGTAATTAGAACTCAAGTTGGGTTTGTGAACCTTACCATTCAAATATTAAATTTAAAATATTCTCATTTGAAGAATTCCCAATGATATACAATTAAATGATGAAAAAATTAGAACTAGTAAGTCTTTAAGAGTCAAAACAAGTTATAAAGGACCTAAATTCTACATTCCCCATTATGCAGACAGGATATGTTATAGATATATGCGCAAATATATTGATTATTTGGTATATACTTATTTTAGGATACCTTAAATATACGATTCGCTGACTTGAACAATAGTTATTTTATATATTTCTGTATGAAGTATAAGATTATTCAGACACTTATGAATTGTTATTTTATAATCTGCAACATTGTGAAACATGAATGTAATATACGAGAGAAAATGAATTTATTTTTTTAGGTATGAGAATGAATTTAATAGTTGGAAAAAAAATTAAAAAAATAATATTTTATATAAGAGAAAATGAATTTATTTTTTGGAGTTGAGAATGAATATAGTATTAATGTAGCAATTACTCTCTTACTAGAAAATGTAAATATGAAAAAAGAAACGGAAAAAATTATCCAATCAATCTAATATATAGTTCTAAATATATACAAAAAATTCACGGTTGTTTTTTCATTATAATTTAAATTCCAGATTTTAAAGAATCTTTTTAAACTACTATCATCTCATGTATATGAATAAACACAATTTAATATTTAACGGCTCAATTAGTTACCAGCGACAAAATCTCGTCAAGAGCATCATTGTTGTAGATTTCCAAATCCTTTCCTAATTCTACAAGGTTTATACTTCTCCACTTCTATAATTAAAACCCTAAACAGCGAATTAAAAGCCCCTCTTCATTAAATCTCTCTCTTCAACAATCCGTTTGATTTTCTTTCCTTTTTCCCTTTCCAAGTTTTCCGGCGAACAATGGCTGAAATCGAAGACGGCGAACTCGCGGCCAAGAAGAGGCGGTGGAAGTGCCTCAACCAACTCACGGCACTTCTGTCCGAAGGCACCGTCCGCCTCGAAGATTTGGTGTCCGAACTCGAAAAGGATCAAAACCCACCATTGGAGCCTTTCTCTTTCTCAAGAAAGGCCAAGCGGTCTCCACGAACCGGGTCAAAACTGACCCACGAAGATAAACCCGAATCCAGCTCTGCCCGGGTCAAGATAACGTTCAAGAACCTTCCTCCCGCGGCCGGGCGCCTCCCAATCAAGAGAAAAAAGGTTTCCGAAAATACCCTCCCGAAACCCAAGAAGAAGCAGCCGAGGTTTGATATCCGGAAGCACATCATGACCGAGTTTCCCGGGTTACCCGACCCGGTCCAGCCCGAGTTATCCGGGTTACCCGATCCGGACCCGCCCAGTGAGTTTGTGGAGTACATTATGAGGAACAATGGTCGAGCGGAGAGCTTGGTGTTGCTGATAGAAAAGAAACTGTTCAATACGGACGTCAGCCCGAGCCACGCCAGGCTGTCAGTGCCGTTTTGCCAGGTGAAGAGACCGTTTTTGTTGAAGGAGGAAGTTGAGAAGCTCAAGGCAGATAGGGTAATGAAGGTGAAGCTATTGCAGCCCAACGTCAAAAAGTGTAGTTTGAGTTTGGCGTTGTGGGAATCCAACTCCACCTATGTGTTGAATGGCGGGTGGACAGAGGTTATGGATACAAATAAGCTGGTGATTGGGACAAGTGTTCGCCTCTGGTCTTACCGTAAGACCAATTCTAAACTGCGTTTCGTATTGGCAAAGGTTGAGTGAAGGGTTTTGTTTTGTTTTGGGGTTTGATGGATGGATATGTTTTGGTGGATTTTGTTTTGAGTTTTTCTGTTTTTTATTTAACTATATATGTTGGGTTGTAGAGATTAATTTGATGGTATATATATGTGTGAAGAGTTCCTGTTAGTTGTTACATATTTTGCACGTTTGGGCACCATACGAAGGATTGCATTTTTGTTGGTGGGAATAAAAATCGTATATACTAATTCACATTCACGATTGATTCTAATTTTATTTTGTGGCTTTATCGCGGGAATTCCGCGGAAAGAAATTGTTCATCGGGTAAGAAATGATAATTTATACTTATATAATAAGAATTAACCTTTTTCAAAATTAGTAGGTCAATTCTTAGTCAACATCTTGTCTGCATTAAATGTTTACTAAAATTAGTAATTTTTATGTCCTTTTCACACTTTTTCTTTATATCCTTTTCACACTAGATTATATAAATGAACGGATATTATCTCACCTTTCATTAATCTCACCTATAATTCATGTGAATTGATTGATTGCCTTTAACTTTTCAAAACGTGTGCTATCCATTGTTTATTACTATTATTATTATAGTATGCACGTAATCAGTTGATTAAATAAATTATATATTATTATTATTATTATACTCACCACGTGACAGTTAATTAAAATATATCTATACTTATATTAAAAGGTATATCATTTACCAGATTTAATATAAAAAAAAATCAACAACATTTATTGCATTACTATTTCCGTATTATACAATCTATACTTATAGAAAAAGAGATTCTATTTACTATATTTACTATCCAGAAAAGTCAACTGCATTAAATGTCATTACTATTTTGGTATTATAATATTTTATTTATTTAATTGTTTTATTTATTTGTTTTATTTTAAAAAGGTAAGTATAATAAAAAGATTTTAATAATAAAAAAATCAAATACCAAATAAAAATGTACACTTTGACTTATTTGATTATATTTGGTATTTGATTATACCAAATATATTCCTATTTAGTATATACATTAAATACTTACTAAAGTATTTATTTGTTTTATTTGTCAAAGTTAAGTATAGATTTGTTTATATTATCAAATCATAAAAAAATATTAAATCCATATTGTAAAAAAAAAAATAATATAATTTTATAACAATTCTACTACACTATTTAACAATATTTTTTTTTTATTATATAATAAAATAATAATTAAATATTATATGGTGAACAACAATAAGTAAAACTGTTACTTTCTCTTATATCAAGGGATAAATTTATATGCTAAAATTAAATTTTTATTAGTATAAATGTTTTAGTGAGATAATATATTAATTATTTTACAAGCTAGCCCTAACATGCTCATATTTAATGTTTTAAAAGATGTAGAAAAAAAACTTATAATAACTCTATTGTTTTTTAGACTTAAACGTTGATTAAAAGAGGTAAAAATTCCTAATTTTTTAGACTTAAACGTTGATTAACACCATAGATTGAGAGTTTATATTTAGTAAAATTCCTAATTGTAATAAAAAAATTAATTTTTGCTATATTTTAGAATATCTTTAAATTCATTATAAAAAAAAAAAAAAAAAAAAAACAATGAAAAAAACAAGTCAGCTATATATCGATTTGTTGTACTCCTCAAATCACATTCACAATTTGGCTACAAGAAAAGGAAACTCATTGATTAAAATATTATTTTGTCAGTAGTCTTAATGTACAAGAGACTTTAAGACTCCACTTGAATATTATACAACTTTTATTGAACATTGTATAATTTTCTTGCGTATTATAAACTTTTATTGAATATTGCATCTTATAATATAATATTCTCTAAATAAATATATCTCGTGCTTTGCACGGGTCACGTACTATATATATTCCGTACATCTTTCTTTATTCATGTATATAATTATAAGCCTAGATAAATAGCCTTAAAAATGTACATCCCGTGCATCGCACGGGCTCTGTACTAGTTAATGATAATTAGAAGATGGATTTGATCGTATTTTGCATTAATAACAACGGCAGCACCTACAACGAGATAGGCAAAATTGTAATTTCTGCCCTGTAACTCAGGGCCTGTGGCAAAACAGGACAGCTTCTTTTCAATTTTGCAAATCTGCCCTGGAACTTGTTAAAACGTGGAACCCGTGCCCAATTTTAGATCTAGTAACCTAAAACGACCGGTAAGTGCTGACTCGATTTTTTTTAGCCGACGTGGATGCTCGCGTGTCTGGAACATCAATATAATCGACATTACACTCATTTTCAGCCCCAAAATCAAATCCTTAAAAACCTAAATTGACTCAGAAACCCTAAATTGCGAAGTTCTTCATTCAACCCAAAATTGCGAAGTCAAATTAGTACTCACTTGGAGATGTTGTATTCTCCAACCAAGAGGAAACCAGATACCGATCCACCTTCTTACGGTAAGTGTGTGTGTGTGTTATTTTTAATGAAAAATTGTAAATGTGCGGTTTTTATTTTCGAAATATGTAGTCTATTTCTTTTAGATTATGTATATATATATGTATATTCTGGGGTTATTTGTTTGAAGAAACGTCTGAAGAAGACTTGTCGTTTTGAAATGAATGTGCTCCCTGTTTGTGTGTTATTCTAATTGCATTTTGTTACTTTATTTTGTGTTACAGAACATGGATCCTACCAGCTGACTGTTGACCTACATTATGGGGGTAAGTTTCTTCACAACCCCTTTGCAATCTATAGAGGTGGGTCTCAAATATCATTTGATTATGTGGATGTCAAAAGTATGGACATGGCTATACTTAAGGGGTTAAGTGATTATGTAGTACCACAAGGGTCTGATAGGATGCATTACATGCTGCTGAATAATTGTTTTAGGGCATTAAACACTGATGAATTAGTGAGGTCTTGGTTTATTAAACATGTTGGTCTAAAACAGATAGACATATATGTTGATGTGAAGTGTGATGTTGTTGAAAAAGGAGATGAGGGTGAAAAAGAAGTTATGGGTGGGGAAGATTCTGTGGATGGCTTTGTGGATGCATTTGTTAATGAAATGACTGATGATGAGGCTGATGAAATGATTCAAAATGAGGGAGAAATAGGTGATGATGTGTCTGATGATTTGCATGACAGTGATTATGGGATGGAAGAAGAATGTAGTGATGATGATAGGATATTTGATAGATTTGTTGATGAAATCCCAGATGCAGATGATAGTGACTTCAATCAAGAAGATGTAGTTCATAATGAGCCTCAGTTCAATGAAGCAGATGATGGAGAAGAAGAGAGCATACCCATCTTTAATCCTGCAACTGTCTATGACCCAATTTTTAAATTGGGTATGTTATTTAGTAGCAGGAATGAATTCAAGAAGGCTGTGCAATCTTATGGTGTGGCTTGTAAGAGGAGTGTCAGGATCACTAAAAGTGATCCATGCAGAGTGTATGTGAGGTGTTATGAGGAAAGTTGTCCCTTCAAGTTGCATCTTTTAAAAGTTAAGAATGAAGAGAGTTTCTTTATTAAAGAAATTCATGAGCAGCACACATGTCCCACTACATTCAAAGTTAAGAATGTGAGGACTAATTGGCTCACTGAGAAGTATTTGTCACAGTTTAAGTCTGATCCCAACAGAAGTGTCAAAGGGTGGAGAAAGGATACTGTGGAGCAACTTAGATGCAGTGTTTCTAGAGACCAAGCTTATAGAGTGAAGAGAAGAGCTCTTAAAATTTTGCAGGGTTCTTCAGATGAGCAATATTCTAAACTGTGGGATTATACTGAGGAGTTGAGAAGATCTAACCCTGGATCCACTGTTATTTTGGGAACAAGTGATGATGTTAATGGGGATAATATGTTTAATAGGTTGTATATCTGCTTTGATGCATTGAAAAAAGGGTTTTTGGCAGGCTGCAAACACATAATAGGAATAGATGGATGTCACCTAAAGGGTCCACACAAAGGTATCTTATTAACAGCAGTGAGTGTAGACCCTAATAACAATTTGTTTCCTATCTCATTTGCTGTTGTGAGTGGTGAGACCACTGAAACATGGGGCTGGTTTTTGACAATTCTGAAGAGTGATTTGTGTATAGGGTTGGGCAATGGCTTCATTATCATGTCTGACAAACAGAAAGGACTTATTCAAGCAGTTGCAAATGTCTTTCCTTTAGCTGAACATAGGCATTGTGTTAGACACTTGTGCAATAATTTCCAAAATGCTGGGTTTAGAGGTCTAGCTTTCAAAAATGCATTGTGGAGTGCTGCCATGTCAACAACTAAGGCTGAGTTTAGCCAAAAAATGTCCCAGCTGAGGGACTTGAATGAAGCTGCATGGGAGTGGTTAGCTGATAAACCACCAGAGCAGTGGTCAAGGTCCCATTTTAAGGAAGATGTGAAGTGTGATATGTTGCTGAACAATTGTTGTGAGACCTTCAATTCTAATATATTAGAAGCTAGAGAGGAGCCAATAATAACAATGTGTGAATGGCTCAGAGGTTATTTGATGGAAAGAATGCAAAAAAATAGGGATAGAGCAAGAAAATGGAAGGGGATTCTATGTCCTAGAATATTAGAGATTGTTGAGAAGCATACAAATGGTGTGGCTGACTGTTATCCAGTGAAAGCAGATGATTGGCACTTTGAAGTCAGATGCAGCAATGGTGCTCAATTCTGTGTGAATTTGATTGACAAATCTTGTACATGCAGATCATGGTCATTGTCAGGTATACCTTGCAACCATGCACTTAGTGTTGTTTTTTATCAGAAGGGTTCTATTGAGGACTTTGTGTCTGAGTGTTACACGGTTGAAAAGTACTTCAATGCATACCAACACACCATATATCCAATCAATGGTGTTGCTCTGTGGGGAACTCAAAATTTTGTACCCCCAATGCCACCAAACTTTGGAAGAGGTGCAGGAAGACCACCAAAGGCAAGGAGAAGAGAGGCAGATGAGCCTTCTTCTAAACACAAAACAAAGCTCAGTGCAAAAAATCTTACCAGAATGAGGAGGCAGCAAACATCTCTTAGTTGCATGAAATGTGGCACTTCAGGACATAATTCAGCAACATGTGGAAAAAGGAAAAGGACCTCAATGACTGTAAGTGTCTTTAATATTGTTTTAATTGAAAATAATCATAAAATTTTAATAGCTTGGTAATTTGTTACTTCAGCAGGTAGGTGTTAACAACTCCCTCAACCAACAAGCAAGCTCCTTGAACCCAACAGTTTTCACACAAGAGATCCCCACTCAACAATCCCAGACTCGGTTTATGCCAACTCCACGGCCACATGTGCCAGGCCCATCAATGTATGATCAACTAATGGGTACCAACATACCACAACCATCAAGAGCTACACATGGACCTATTATCAGAGGGCCTGCAGCTTTCACTGGAGAAAGACCATTATTCTCTGCAGGAAGTAGCATAACATCAGTCTCTGCAGCTTCAGTAGTGGTGGTTGACCAGGGCAAGAAATTCATGGTACTCAACCAGCAAGACAAGGCAAAAAAATGATCCTGTGTAGTTTTTATGTTGATGTTTAGGTTTTGGATTTTGTTGGTAATAGATGGTTGGCAATAGCAGGTTGTTGTTTTTGAGAACTTAATGGCAGATCTTGTCAGTGTTTATTGTGGATTTAGATTGTGGATTTTGTTGGCTGTAGCTGGTTTTGGTGGTTGTGAAGTCTTTGTATTGACAATTGTTGGTTTTTGTTTTGAACTCTTTGTATTGCCAATAACTGGTATCTTTTGAACTTTTTGTATTTGGCAATGAATGGGAATGAGAATTATTGCTTTTTACAATGCTCTTGTGTATTTATTTACATGGTTAAGTAATTGTGACAGCATCATTACAATAGGTTTAAAGTACACATCAAACACAAACATAACAATACACAAGTTAAATTCAACAGAGCCTTCACATTCCATTAAACTTGAAACACATGAATAAATTAGTTCAATATCTCTTACAATAACTTAAGATATCCAAAACTCAACATCACAACATCAAACCATTACAGTGCATGTCCCTAAAATAAGTAGTACACATCAAACCAACATAACTTTAATAAGTACTACAACCATTACACCCTAAAATAAGTACTACAACTACTAGCATTACACATCAAACCAACATTTTCATGCATGTCCCTTGGGGCATTCTATCCCCAGTGCAGAACAACAAAGTGAAAATAAGAAGTACCAACAACAATACACAATGCATTTTTGACCTTTTCTTCGCTTTTTTCAAATTGTTGACTTGTGCTTTCAGAATCTTGTTTTTTTCGATCAAATTAGAATGCTTAGTAATTTCGACTTGCATCTTCTCAATTTCCGCTTGCATCATTTTGATTTCATTTCTTTTTTCATTCACTCTGTTCAGTAAGCCTGGGATAATTTGTTGAGACCGATGACACATAGGTGGCTCAGCCCAATCAAAGTAGTTACATCCTTTCCCCTGTCAAAGCCATAAAAATAATATCTTGAACAGAAAAATTGAGAAAAGTTAGAACAATTAGGGAAAAAAATCGAAACTTACTATATTCCAGTTAGAACAGGAGAAAAATCTTCTTCCACAGTTGGGATACTTCCATGAAGTTTGACTCACGACTCTATACCCGCAAGGACAATCGACATTTCCAGTAATCTCAGACATCAATTTCGATCGATTGAAAAGGAAAATGTTAGGGTTTCTGAGTCGATTTAGGTTTTTAAGGATTTGATTTTGAGGCTGAAAATGAGTGTAATGTCGATTATATTGATGTTCCAGACACGCGAGCATCCACGTCGGCTAAAAAAAATCGAGTCAGCACTTACCGGTCATTTTAGGTTACCAGATCTAAAATTGGGCACGGGTTCCACGTTTTAACAAGTTCCAGGGCAGATTTGCAAAATTGAAAAGAAGCTGTCCTGTTTTGCCACAGGCCCTGAGTTACAGGGCAGAAATTACAATTTTGCCAACGAGATATGATACCTGCTTTTACTAAAGAAAAATGTACGTGACCCACGAAATATATTTTGTACAATGTTCAATAAAAGTTTTATAATATTCAAGTAGAGTCTTAAAGTCTCTTCTACATTAAGACTACTGACAAAATAATATTTTAATTGATGAGTTTCATTTCCTTATAGCCAAATTGTGAATGTGATTTGAGGAGACAACAATAGCTGACTTGCTTTTTTCATTGTAGTTTTTTTTCTTTTTTTTTTATAATGAATTTAAAAATATTCTAACATATAGCAAAAGTTAATTTTTTTATTACAATTAGGAATTTTACTAAATATAAACTCTCAATCTATGGTGTTAATCAACGTTTAAGTCTAAAAAATTATGAATTTTTACCTCTTTTAATCAACGTTTAAGTCTAAAAAACAATAGAGTTATTATAAGTTTTTTTTTCTACATCTTTTAAAACATTAAATATTAGCATGTTAGGGCTAGCTTGTCAAATAATTAATATATTATCTCACTAAAACATTTATACTAATAAAAATTTAATTTTAGCATATAAAGTTATCCCTTGATATAAGAGAAAGTAACAGTTTTACTTATTATTGTTCACTATATAATATTTAATTATTATTTTATTATATAATAAAAAAAATATTGTTAAATAGTGTAGTAGAATTGTTATAAAATTATATGATTTTTTTTTCTACAATATGGATTTAATATTTTTTTAATGATTTGATAATATAAACAAATCTATACTTAACTTTGACAAATAAAACAAATAAATACTTTAGTAAGTATTTAATGTATACTAAATAGGAATATATTTGGTATAATCAATTACCAAATATAATCAAATAAGTCAAAGTGTACATTTTTATTTGGTATTTGATTTTTTTATTATTAAAATCTTTTTATTATACTTACCTTTTTAAAATAAAACAAATAAATAAATCAATTAAATAAATAAGATATTATAATACCAAAATAGTAATGACATTTAATGCAGTTGACTTTTCTGGATAGTAAATGTAGTAAATAGAATCTCCTTTTATATAAGTATATATTCTATAATACGAAAATAGTAATGCAATAAATGTTGTTGACTTTTCTTTATACTAAATCTGATAAATGGTATACCTTTTAATATAAGTATAGATTTAGAAAAAAGAATGAACTGAATCTTACCAAGGCTTCGACCTAAAATTGATTTATAATCGGTATATAATCGCTACAATACTTACGTTAGCATCTCCAATGTTTGAATGTTGTTATTACATAAATTTTGACAAATGTCAATTTATTAGATGGATTGTGAACAACATAAGATAATTGTTAAGTTCACAACTTCAAATCTAAAAAACTATCTCCAATGCACAATGTAAATGGAATATTATAAGTTACATTTATGCATATAGTATTAAAATTATAAGTTATACAATGATATTATATTTTAAACATGAGTATTATAAGTTATATTTATGCATATAATAATAAAAATATAAATTAGATAATGATATTATGTTTTAAAATTTGGTCATTGGTTAAAATAAATAGTACCTAACTATTTGATTGCATATGAACCACTATATTAATTACATAAAATATAATAAATAATATAATTTTGAGAGATCGACAATTTATTAGCTTAAAAGTATTAAATTTATTATAACATTTGATTATGCGATTTTAAAGAATTTTACTATAACATTAAAATAAATTAACTTATTTAAAAATACAATCGCTAAATAAGATAAAAAAAATATATAATATTAATTTTAGAATAAATAACTTTAGCAAAAAGTTTACAATAATTTTTTATGTTTATGTAATTTTCATATATCATTTAGTGTAAACTATAGTTACTAATTTAATAATAACTATTATATGATATACTAAAATAGTATAACTATTACTTCGTTAATATAAAATGTAATGATTTTTGTCTTAATTAACTCGAAAAAAAGTGTAATGAAATATTTTAGCATTAATTAGAAGATTGTAACATAAAAAGATGGTAAACAATAATTAATATTATTAAATTTATTGTTAGTAATTAAATATAGAGAGAGATATATAAATGATAAAGTTTGTAACGGTTTTTTGGAGGAAAATCGAAATGAGATTTTATTAAATGTTTTATTAAATGGTATTAACCAACAATTATATATCTATATTATCTGTAATTATAATAAATCCCAAGAGCACTATCATCAAATCTATTACTATATAATAGAGAGAAGAAAAAATGTTTGAAAAATTATTTCATTTTACCGCTCAAATCATTTTTTTCCCTCTAAAATTTTGTTTGAAATTTTTTCGGAAGTTTGAATTTTTTTCGTTTCGAAATTCAATATGTTTTGGTTGAGTTCAATATGTTTTGGATGAGATTCTTCCATATTGGATAAATTCAAATTCCTTTTCATTTGGAAAACAAATGTTTATTTTAGCAATATATTTGACTTCCTTTTTTTTAACCGATTATGTTGATTTTCTGTTTAAAATTGATTTTTTTTTTTTTTAATTAAAGGATGTACCAATTTCCTAAACATGATAAAAACATATCACTTCAAATATTTTTTAAAATTGAAGATTCCAACTACTGCGATTAGTGTGATTAGTACTAACTGATTTTGTTAAATAATATCTTCATTGATTCACCCCAACACGTTTGATAGGTAAGTTCATTAGTTAGTTATGATGCATAAAATCACACAGTAGTGGCTATTTAATATAAAACTATTTAGAATATAACAATTCAAAAATTGAGGATTCCATATAATGTAGGCCCAAAATCTACGAATTGATTTATTCCAAAAATTGAGGATTTCATATACTACAAATTGATTTATTCAACAAATAATTCACAACTTTACGGTTTAAATATTACAATATGTACATCATTCCCTTAAAAATTTGATCAACCAACACGATTTTGATGATAATTTTTCAAAATTGATATGTATTCCTTTTGAATATCAGAAAGATTTTTGAACAAATATTATTCAACAAAATTTAAAATTTGTAATTTAATTTTAGAGAATTAATTGATAAATTTGAAAAATAAGGTAACCGAAAAAAAATCTAAAAAATTACGTGATAATATGTATAAAGAATTTATTTTGTAGTCTAAATTTGATTTCAAAATTTAGAAGTCAAATAAGTTATTCTTAATAACTTACGGGTTAGTATTAACTTGGACGTATATAGAATAATCAATTATTTATAGTTTAATAAATTACTCAACTACATAATTTTTTTATTTAGATCGTTTATACAAATGTAAATTCATTTTAATTAATAAAATAATATAGTTTTGTAACTGTACTTATTATTCACATAGATCTTTAAATATTCATAACATTTTATCAAAATTATTATTTTATGGAATTACATTGTAGTTAAATTGAATTTCTTAATGAATTTTTAAAAGGACACTTATTTTGAAATTATATTGTAATTTATTATCAGTTACGTGCACCGTACGGGTTATGTACTAATTTTAAATAGACATGTTTTTATAATTTTGCACAATTTAAATTTCATATAACATTTTCAATAAATGTAACATAGGTGAATTGTATTACAATTGATTTTATATTTTTAAGTTATAAGTATTATTTAAGGTGTATTTTTAATTTATAAATATTAATAGATATCTCCTACCCCTATTAGCACAGGATTCGTATTAGTTAAAGAAAATAAAACCAACATAAATAAATATTTAATTATTTATATAAGAACTAGAAAGGTGTTACTATATGGTATCTAATCTCCCTAATAAATATCTCCTACCCGTGCATACGGGATTCGTATTAGTGAATGAATAAATAATATAAACGAGTTAATTGCAAATTTGGTCCCGTTAGATTGGGACGTTCGCAATTTTAGTCCCAAGAGGCGCAATTTCAGTCCTTAACTAATTTTTGTTGCGCAATTGGTCCCAAATCTAACTGAACGTTAAGTCACCGTTTGTCATTAGTCACAAATATTGAAAAAATTGCAAATGTAGTCCCATAAGATTGGTTTTGTTGGAAATTTAGTCCCAAATATTAAAAAAAAAAAATAGTTTTATTACTAATTTTTGTTGCAATTTTTATTCCGTGAGTATATAACAATATTTGATAGTAAAAATTTAGTTTTGAGACAAAAAATAATAATTGCTAAACAATGTTTTCTATATTTAAAATTAATTTTTATTAAATAATAAATATATTTAAAAAATAGTAATTATTTAATTTTATTAGAAATATAGAATTCTAGAGGTTAATAAAATTTATAAATAAAAATAAAAATAAAAATAGAAGTAATACCAACTACTATTGGTTGAAAGCTCGGCCAAACTTGTTGTTGAATCGATAATTGGTCAACTAAACGGTTTGATTCCTTTAAACGGATTGATTCCAATGAACCGATTAGAATTAGTTGAATGGACTGGTCAATAATATATATATTTAAATAAGTTAATAAATTTTATATTTTTTAATATAACAAAAATATAAGTTTAAATATATTTGATATATATAAATTCAAATATATTTGAATTTATATTATTATGTTTTATGTATTCAAAATATTTTTAATTAAATAATAAATATTTTTACAAAATAATTATTTAATATTATTATAATTATATTGGATGATAAAAAATAAAAATATAATTTTAGAGGTTAATAAAAATTTAAAACGTAAAATAAAAATAAAAATAAAA